CGAGGCTGGTGTGTGATGTTTGGGCTGTTTTTCATAGCTTCCACAGCTGGGAATTCAAGATGCTATACTTAGGCAGAAGTCCATGAAGGAATTAATTGATATGAGCCAGAAGTTGATTGCCATTTAAGTACTCTGTCTCCACCATTGCCAAGTTTCCCTCTGCAGAAAGAACCAAGCTAGCCTGCAACTGGCTCGTTCAGGATGTGAGTACAAGATGGAATTCAACCTTGACTATGCTGCAACACCTGCTTGGAAATAAAGGGAGTCTGTATGTGCCCCCGCACCAAGGAGTTGACAGCTGACTTCATTATAGAAGAATCTGGCAGGATGGTTGTGGCTACTTCTAAGCCTCCTGAGGTGCTCACCCAGGAGCCCAGTGCCAACCAGACTCGAACTTTGTGCTTCTGCCAGGAGCCCACATGAAGCCATTTAACCCTAAGTTATTCCTCTCCCCGAAATTCAGTATCTTTGGGAGGCATTCCCTTCAAACAAGGGAGATAGGGAGGGGCCCGCCGAAGCTAAGAGGAAGAGCATTTGCAGGTGTTCTGAAATGGGAGCTGGAATTGTCAACTTCCTTTCTCAGGGGTTCGGCTATGTGGCGCCCAAACAGGCGCAAAGTTGAAGCTGCCGGGCTCTAGGCAGTGGAACTTACGGTTTTGCGACAGCCTCGGCCGAGCTCTGGAATAGACCCACACCTGCTTCAAGCAGACTAGCGGGACGGCAGGTGCTAGGGGTCTTCTCTGGAGCTATAACCTTCCATATCATGAGGGTCACCTTCCGTATCGCCCACTTGCGTGATTTTCCAAAGCCTTTCTTAGTATGGCTTCCTTAACGGGCCCCTATGCGTCGGAATCCAGTAGATGGTCGTGGCTTGGGTGGATTACTGCTCAGCTGGAAGCAACATACATATGACGGCCCCTCGGGCAGCGTCACACTGCACATAATACTCTTTTAAAACAAAACTCGACTCCAACTTTTATATGCACTTATAAGATGACCGATTTGAACCTTTATATTGATTTTGATATATTGCTAGTTATATAATTAAAACAAATACGTTTAAGAGGCTGGAAAGGGAGTAATAAATAAGACAATAACTGATTTCAGAAGTCAGAAAGCGGTAGAGCACACCTGACCTGGAGGTAGATTTCATTTGGCCCCAGAGTGCGATCAGCAGGTTGAAATAAAAAAAAAAAAGTGTGGGGCTGGGGATCAGGTACTATTATGGATTGGGTATATCCAACTAAATCTGCGTGGTGAATCCTAATTATGTGTATGGTTATCATTCCCATTTGGGAATGGCCTGTCTTTATTAAGTTAATGAGACTGGATATTAGTGTAGGGTGTGTCTTACAACCCTCTCTTGGAAAATACAAGAGGAATTAATAATAGGAAGCAGAGATGGGGTTCAGAGAGATGGCAAGGCTGGTGGAGAGCTCTCGGACCCAGGAAGCCCAAGCGGAAGAGAGAGGAACTTCCTCTGGAGCCACGAACAGAGAGAAAGATTTCACCCGAGGGTGGGCACCCTCGATTCGGACTTCCCATTGCCCTAGGAGAGAAAAGAAACGTGTTTGTTCAAACCATCCATTCGTGGTGTTCCTCTTGGAGCAGCACCAGGTGCCACTATTTAGAACCTGGGAAATAGCACATGCAAGCCACTTCCTCAGCAGACACCGGGCAAGCTGGCACAGGAGGTGGTCAGCCCAGCAGACAAAAGGCAGGCAGGGGAGAGGGCATCTGCTCTCCATGGGCTGGGGTCCCCACTGGGCCCGAGATTCCTCTCACCCTGGGCTTAGAATCCTGACTCTGGGGTAAGACGGTGGGATTCTGGGTTTTCTCCGCTCTTCCTCCTCTCAGCTTTCTGCTAGTTCTTTGGCCGCTCGCTGCCCAGCTGTAAGAGGTGCTGATGACCGGAGGCTACGGTGGGTAGTTGTCGGCTCCCAAGAAGCTATTTCCAAAGTCCTGCCTTCGGGCCCGAGGTTGTTCACATGGCCCAGTTGTCCCCTTTAGTCACGTGGGGCGTATGTGGCTGCCCCACGAGCTGTGCCTGGAGACGAGTGAAATCAGAAATGGGGGCGCGGGGGTCTTCAAAATGGTGGCGTGTAGAGTTTCCCAGGTGACTGCAGCAATAAAAAGCGTCAGGCCGTGGACACATTGTGCATGCTTCTAAGAACCTCTACGACAGAGCAGAGGTTCTCAAGTTTGGCTCTGCTGACGTGTGGGCTGAATCATTCAATCTCTGTTCTGGCAACCTCTCCTGTGCACTGCGGCACGTGGAGGGGCGTCCCTGGCCTCTACCCACAGATGCAGTAGCCCCTCCCCAGGTGCAGGACCATCGTGCAATGCAGTGGCCATTGAACCGGGCACCTGCCCACCCATAACATCTTTGAGAATGTTCTATTTAGAATATTGTGCCAGGGGCAGAAAATACTCTCTCTTAAGCGACCGGTGTCTTCCCTCCCTGCAGCCCATCTTTTTTCTACCCAGAAGCTCCAAGTCAACCCTGAGATGGAGTCAAGCCCCAAGGCAGCCTTGGCGGCCAGCTTCACCTCATTCCCTCACACGTGCCAACTGCCTCGGGCCTCGGCAGCTTTACTTATATTTCGTGATTTAAAATGTTATCATTGAAAAGAAATAAAACGAACAGCTCAGTTCTGTGGTCTCATTAGGGGCATTTCAAGTGTTTATTGGATACACTTGGCTTGTGACCACCACAGTGACCATCACATACGGGTGGGGCATAAGCGAAGGAGGGACTGTTCTGTGAGGTTTGGCATGGATGACCCCAGAAACAAATCACTGCAACTCCCCTGCCCCACCTTCCGAAAAAAATCAACCCCCCACGGTGATCACGTCCATTCTGACCCCCGACTTGCAGCGCCTCTGGAAGGCAGAGTGGACCTCTGGGGTCGTAATTATTTACTAGAACAGGAAGCTCATGGTCCTCCCAGGGAGCAGTCGGTGGGTTCACACTACTGACCTTGCAGTTAGGAAGCCAACCAGTAACCAGTTTTACCATCTGGGCTCTGTATTGGTTGCAAGTAAAACACCAAACTGGGGGTTGGTGATTTGCTTCTGATCCAAAGGGTCCTTATGGGACAGAGAAGAACTGTCCCCCAGGGTACTGATGGAAGCAGACTGCCACTTCTCCCTCCTACGGAGGAACTGGTAGGTTTGAACTACCCACCTTCTGGCTTGCAGTGGGCACTTTCATTAGAGACACCAGGGCTCCTATGTAAGGAAGGAGGACCCCCTAAATATGAACTATGTCATTGACACCGAGGGAGTCAACCAAGCATGGGAGCAAGGAACGGGGAGTGCTTTGAGCCACCCCACTTTGGGAAGAAGCTCTACTGCATTAGTGTTGAAGGAGGCCAGTGGCCAGCCTTGCTGGTGGCCCCAGAATGCTAAGCCCCTCCTACAAATCTCCGTCCTGGTGTTGAGCACAAGTTTGGGTGACGGCAACATTGACTCCTGCCCTCCCTGGGATGGCCCCATCACCTGTGATCGGTGCCTGCTGAGCCGCCGACTCATAGAAAAATATAATCCACTCGTTAATAAGCAGAAGTTTTAAAGCTTTTAAAAAAAATCATTATTAAGTGTGGCTATTTCATTTTAAATGCAAAATCCTGAATAGACCAGAGATTTTTTTTAAATATAGCTGAGTATTTTAATTATGAATGTACTTGCATATTCTCAGCATACTTCATTATTTATGTAGCCGGTGAAAAAGCTTTTTAATTAAATAGCATGCTGGCAATCCATTGTGAAATGTATAGATGTAAGTTTTACTAGCATTAAAAAGCTAAGCGCACTCTCACACACACAACCAGTCTAGTCAGCACACATATTTTAGTCATTATTAAGTATTTGTGTCCCTGAATAGATCTTAAAATGTGACCAAACTTTTCTTTTTTTAATTGGCAATAAACAGTATGATTTGCCAGGTCTGTGCTGCAGCTTAGAAATGGGGGTACAGCCAGGATTCCCCAAGTGCCGCACCCACACCAGCAATATCAGCATCTCCTGGCAAAACTTTGAGCTAGACCACGGGCCTCTTGGGAACTGGGTCCAGCAACCTGGGGTGAAGGTTGTGACTTGCTGCTAATCTAGGTTCCATTGATGGGTTTCAGGTGACAGGTGGTAACAAGGAAGTCAATCCGGACATGCATTTTCTTCTCCATCATAAAAAGTGCTGTGAGGATTCAGGTTTCAGGCCAAAGATCTGCCCCCGGCCCTTCAAGTTTCGAAGGAGCCCACAGACACGGGGTGTTAAATGTGTAGGCTCGAGTTGGAGGGAAGTTGCCCATTTATACCAGGTCTTTACTTACGAATTCTGATTAAACTCATTCCTCAGGGTTGTTTCCACATTGCTCTTCTTCTGCCATTAAAACATTAAGGAGAAGAAAACAAACCAACACCACCCAGCAAACACACAACTCATCTACGGAGTCACCGTCTTAGGCAGCTTGTGCACAAAACATCCAGAGGTGGCCGCCTGCTGACCACACTACTGGTCTTCTCTGGAGGCCGGGAGGTGAAGGGCGTCGGACAAGCCCACACTGGGAGTCAGAGCCAGAGTGAGAAGGCACAGCCATCAGACTGCCTTCCCTGTGCTTTGTCTTCTGAATGCACAATGCTGCTTCTTAAGTACACAGACGCCAAACTGCCGCTGAAATTGCAGCGATCTACTTCGAGTTCAGATTTGCACAGCAGGACATGAATTGGGCCGCAAATTATGCAGAAAACAGCCATCACATCCATCTGTGATGTCAGAACGCTCAAGAGCGATGTGACCTGCTCGTGTCTATGAGGGGTACGATGAATAGCGCCCCAACTCCAGCGCTTGCCCTGAGTGAAAGGTTCCATATGATTGAGGCGATGCCGGGACAGGCTCTAGAGCAGAGTCCCATCCAAGGGGGGCAGGCAATTCGACGTTTTTTTTTTTTTTAGATGGAAGAGTAACTCGAAAAAAGAAAGCACACAGATACACTCGTACCTCATGGTAAACTGAATTTATTTCCTCTTGGAAAACAATTCCAGTCATCTCCAGGTTCAGACCGCAGAGTAAACATGAAGAACAGTAACATACAGGGCAGTTCAACTGATTCGAGGATCTGGCCGTGTGAAACCATGAATGACAACCCTTGAACACGCAAAGCTTCAAATGTATCCAGGAAAAAAAAATTTTTTTTGACAGTCTACATAACAACTATTGCATATTTATGGTGATGCTACCTGTCATATCGCAAGGCTTACAAATATATATACGGGCCTTATCCAGCTGTGGGTTTCTGCTCTGAGAACATCTCTTCATGGTTTGCAAGAATCTTCAGCAATAAAAAATAGTCTTGGATTCAATCGATGATATACCAAAAGAGAAATTCTAGGCTTAAGTGTAAATAAAAGGAAGTCCAAACTTCGCACGTGTAATGTAGTTGTTGGTTTTTTTTTTTAATCTGTCTTCCTTGAAAATACTTTTTCTTAAGCCTTTTTTGCTCAACCCCCTCCCCCCTTCCCCTTTTTAAAATCTTGTCTGAATAGGGCCCAAGTCCACTTGTCTTTATAAGACCATTTTTAGTATCAGACGACATAATACATGTGCAACACTTTATATACAGGGAGTCTATCCGTTGCTCAAAAGTTCAAACACATGAACATCCAACAGTTTTGATAATACAAGGTTTATGGTACAATACAATGCTTCTGAATAATATACATTAACAATGGAAGTTTCGTGCAAAGAGTAAAACATGTTCCCTTTTTGTGCCACAAAATTCTCCGCGAAGAGATGGTCCTTGCACTAACTGCTGTGTTGGGTCATCGTATGGTTCTGTAAAACACAAGGAGGAGAAAAGAAAAGCGGCAGTCAGTTTGAGTCCAAGCACGGAGAGAGGCTGGCGGCTTTATAACCACGTGGAAACTGTGCTTCTGCACCCGGAGGAGGAGGAGCAGGAGGCGGCGGAGCTCATGGGTGCTCTCACAACGCACTGGCACACAGGGTGGCTCAGCCTGACCTCTCTCTGGAACCCAGAGCTGCCAGGTGGCCCCAGCGGTCACTCGGAGGACTGGACGCATGTGGGAAGGGGGAAGATACGGGCAGCATCGTCTGCCCAAACCTTTGCAGAATACCCGCCCACTGTCCACCACCCTCCTTTCCGAAACCTGGCCTATTTTTCAGGGCTAACACTTTGTTCACAGTTCCACCTGTGTGGGCATTATCGCTACCTATGCTTGTCTCAGGTCCTCATGATTAGGTTTAGAATGTCCAGAGAGCAGGGACTCTCTCTTGGGCCTGAAGATGTACTTTAAAGGCCAGTGCTACCTAGCAGGGACTTGCAGGGGCCAGGAAGCATGGCAGTCCTTCCCTGAGGAGGCTCCGGCGGTGGTCACACTGTGGTGATGACTGTCCTGCCCTTGTGTTGCTCTCTCCAGCTGAGACGGTCCTGCTGCCTTCCGGGCGGCTCCTCCCCTTCCACATTAGATGTTCCCTCTCCACGTGACCCACCCCTTCCTAAATTCTACCAGGGCCATTGCGATACCTCCGCACCCGGGGATGAAAAGCCACACCCTAAAGACAGGCTCCACCCTGGGCCGGTGCTCATATGAGCCTGGCGGATTCCCATCATCCCTCCTCTGTAGTCTCCTTGGGCCACGCTCTCTTCACCCTTCCCCACGCATGGCCCCTCAGCCCCATCAGCTCGTGATCAAACTCTTGAGGTGGAACACCCTCTTCCATGCTCATCCCACTGAAAAATGGTATGCCCGCTCCCCTAACTACCACCTGCTTACAGTGCACCCATCTTCTGTCCCGCATCACGATTATTTGTTAACGGTGACATTTACTCATCATTTCCTTTCTTCACAAGCATCTATGGAATGCTTGCATCACCATCTGGCACAGCACTGCAGTGCACCAAGAGGACAAGTAGTAAGTCACGTGACATACAATGTTATTGCTGTTAGGTGCCCTCCAGTCAGTTCCAACTCATCGCAACTCTACACACCGCAGACCGCAGCACAGCCCCGTGCTGCACCATCCTCACAATGGTGGTTGTGTTTGGGCCCATGGGTGCAGCCATTCAGTGAGGGCCTTCTTTTTTGCCGCCCTTCTGCTTTAACAAGCATGGTGTCCCATTTCAGGGGTTGGTCTCTCAATAACATGTCTAAAGTACACATAACAATAGAGCAGTATGGCAAGGACTACATTAGAAACATGTATCTAAATCGTCATGGCTACACCTAACCTTTCCCAGCCTTTGGGAAAGGTTTTACAGTAGAGGTGGCATGCTGACATTTGAGGTGAGGCTGGGCACTTGAGACACAAGAGCACTATTATGATTGAATCACGTCCCCCCAAAACACATGCCACCATGGTGAGTCCATGATGCTCAGTATAATGCAATCCTCCTCCATTTTGTGATGTGATGTAATTATCTCACGGGTTGAAGAGTCTAACTTCTATAATGTTAATGAAGCAGGATTAGGTTGTGCCGTGAGTGAATCAATCTCTAAATCAAAGAGACCTCAGTATGACCCAGACAGAAGAACCAGGAATGGAGTGCAGTCCTTTGGACTCAGGGTCCCTGTACTGGGAATTTCCTAGACCCAGAGGAAAATTGATGCCAAGCCACCTGGGGATCTCTAAAAGATACCAAGCCCCACCAAGACATTGAAAGGTGACAAGGACTTTTCCCTAGGGAGAGCTCGCTCTCTCTCTCTCTCTCACACACACACTCTCTCTCTCTCTAGAGCTGACACCCTAAGGCTAGGCTTCTAGTCTCATAAACTGTAAGTGAAAATACATTTCAGTCTGTTACACACATCCACTTGCAGTGTTTCTCTTACTGCAGCACGCGGTAACTAAGAAGGACACTCCTAGCTGAGACCCACACTGGGAAAGCACACAAGCAAGGCTATTCCAAGGTTTGCCAGGGATGCTCACAGACCTGAAGGTGTTCAGATTGGATGGCGTCTTCTAGAATGTCCTGAAGCAAGCGTGCTGACGAGAAATGAAACGGGAGGGTATTCGTAGGGCAGACTGTGAAGAGCCTGAGTTCCTTGCTAAGGAGTTCGGCGGTCTTGTAGGCAAAGAGGCACCATGGGAGCTTTGCAAGAAGAGGGCCTTGTCTTAGGGATGGTTGTTGACTCTTCATCCTACGGGAGTGCCTGCTTTGGGCTGGGTGCTCAGCGATCACAGGGTGTCAGTCACGGGGAGGCTTGACTACTGAGGTGCACACCTTCAGGACTGAGGGTGCTGGAGAAGGACTCGCTGTAACTGACCAAGACCCGGACCTAGTTCCCTATCTCAGACTTAGCTCATCTTGGAAGAGGGCTGATGTTAAATAATGATGATGGGGTGGGGGTGGGGGGAAATATTGGACTCTCCCTTACAAAAAAATCCCTATTTTGATTAATTCAGTGAAATATAAACTGGACTTTTCTCATTTTAGTTGTTAGTACTAAAAGTACTTGCTCAAAGTGCATAAGACAATTAATTTTTTGCCAGCTCCTGTATTCTTGACACTGATTTTATGTACTAATTTTTTTGACTATATATACTATGAATGAATAATCAAAATACTAATGAGGCCAAAAGAGTTACAATAAACCCCACATTTCCCTGTTCCCATAAAAATCGATACAACATGATCAAAGTGGTTATTAACAGTGCCCCCCTGGCTCCCCCCCAAAAAAACTTCAGGGACTCAAAAGCACACTAAGCTTTTTCAGGAGTAAAACTGGATCTTAGAATGAGTTTTTTTTCTTCTTCTTCTCTTAAAACCAATCACCAAATATATATACTCATATATGTGACAAGGTGTCACAAAGTTCATGGAAAAATGAAGTTAAATGATAATGGAATTTTTCCGTCACCTTTTTGAAGCCCCCTCTTATACATATCCCCGATATATACAAGCTCCCAGGCCCACCTTTTTACACCCCCCCACCCTCACACACTACAAGGGTATGACCATCATACTGAAGTATAGAACAATGACAGGAGGAGGAGGTCTTCTTTAAAAATCTAGTCAAAGTCAAAAGTAATCAGTCTAATAACCATTATTACCAAATCGTCTAGGGTTGGCATGGACACTCCAAGTTCAATAGGGGTTAACAACAAGGTGTACTGTAATCTCGCCAGGGTCTTTATACATGCCTGGGTTGAGGTATTTTAAAAGAAGAGCCTCAAAACACTGTCTCCAACAGTGGCAACAGTTGAGTCTTGGAGGCTTTTGTCCTAAGCCAAAGCCATATGAGCCTCTGCAGAGGTGGAAAGAGATGAACAAATACGTACACATCACTTACTGCGGCAGGTTGAAGTCACTTTAATAAAGGAATCATGTTTTGCATATTAACAGCGAAGACGGTCATTTGAAGGAAGGACAGAGCCTGGCTTTTATGGAAATGAGCAGCCCGGATGTCAGTAATTTCAAAATGGGAAATCTGGCATGAGAAACGATGAAAGCAGCGAGTCCTCTTGGTGCGAAGACATCTGCCTACTTTGTAAGATCACTTAGCCTCACTTCTGCGTCCCGTGTTGCTCGGCCCTAACCAGGCTCTCTGCAAGGACAATCTCCAGAGGGGAAGGGGGCAACTTCCTGGGCCATCTTCCTGGGGAGATGGACACAACTACATTTAAAGAGAGCCAGCCAGCCAGCCAGATGGCCCTGCCCCACTCCTATAGGGTCTTCCGACGACCCCTGCCTTTGCTAATCACCAGGGGCGGGGTGGGGCTAAGGGTCAGGAGATGCCAGCTCCCCATCTCCCACTCCGTACGCAGACCCACTGAACATGCCAATGGCCTTGTTTCACTTTTGGAAGGAAAGGCTGCATGCCCGAGCCTCTTGGGTGTCACCTGGTTTTTAGGGATTGACGGGAAGAGAGATGAGTGGAGTCACAGATTCCAAGCGTGAACCAACAGCCAGTGACACCAGTGTCGGGTGTTATTGTCTCTCCCCCTTACATGGTAGGGATTGTTTTTCCTCTAAGGAAGACAAAGAAGCAATGGCAGAGAGGAAATGTCCGCAATGGCAGCAAGCAACAAGAGGCGGCAAGCTATGAAGCTCCGCCTGCTCTTGCCCTGGCGACTCGCCATCCTGCCAGGCCGGCCCATCCCGAGCTCCTGCAGACGTGGCCACGTGAGAGCGAGCGGCAAGCCGGGGAGGGCTGCCAGGCCAGCAGCGAGCAGCCTCCTCAGGGCAGGAGTTTTCTAAGGGAAGCCCCCACCTGAGCACAAAGCAGTCGGTAATCTCACCAATTTTACACAGCAATTCACAGTCCCCAAAGCACTTCAATGCAATGACAGGTTATGAGAATAAAAAAAAAAAATTTTTTTTTAAACCTTCTCAGTTCAAACGAAGGGAAAGTGTTTTTACATAATCGAAAAGTGCATCTGTGCAGCCTCGATGGTGGTGGGGGTGAGGACCGAAAAGGAAGGAGGAGAAGAAAACTTAGGTAATCCCACAGAGAGCCATATTCCGCTCTGTAAAAGCCATCTCCTGGAGACCCCTCGTCTAAGTAACTGAAAATTGCAAACCATTAATCCCAGCTATGAACAGTTGCTTTTCACGAGAGGGGTTTGTGCTTAAGGAAAAAAGAAAAAAATCAAATGCACAACACACCTTAGAGCAACTGCAGGAGGCAGGGTACCTTCCTTAATCCGAGGTTTCAGAGATGAGCTCTTCCTGGCGAAGGGTCCTGTTTGGAAAGGGTGCTGTGCACTCTTATCCTCCCACCCCGCCCCTGGAAATGTGAAGTTAAACTTAAAAAGCTGAAAAACAGATGAGGACCTTAAACTTCTCCTTCGAGCGCTAGGTACTCCTTTTTGAA